GTGGAACTATTTACCAGTGGATGTTGTGAAGGCCAAGCCTATCACATGATTCAAAAAAAGAACTAGATAAATTCATGGAGGATAGGTCCATCAATGGCTATTAGCCATGATGAGCAGGAATGGTGTCCCTAACCTCTGTTTGCCAGAAGCTGGGAATGGGTGATGGGATGGATCACTTGATGATTACCTGCTCTGTTCATTCCCTCTGGGGCCCCTGGCATTGGCCACTGTCAGAAGACAGGATACTGGGCTAGATGGACCTTTGGTCTGACCCAGAATGGCCATTCTTACATTTTGTAATTCTCACATATACAGTGGGCCTGAAAGTCTACTCACCCAAGTGTGTGGTGTGCAGCAGAAAAGCAGTGCACCCAATAGATCAAGAGATAGTAAAAGAGTGCAAAAGACACCAAATGTGTCTTCTCTCAACCCCCACCCAATGGTGTATGTCTGAGACACAGTCTGTTGACAGGTAGTGTGGTCTGACAGAAAGTGGCATGTTGTGGACAACTCTAGCGTGCAACATTCAGCTCCTAAACAAGCTGGATAAGAAATGTGCATTCACAGAGCATGAGATAAAGTTGCCTTCAGCTTTAAATTGCTCACATTCCCCATAAACAGACCAAAGACCACCTTTACCAATAAATGGGGACACAGGAAAGATGGGCTGTCCAGTTACTGCACTAATCAACTAGGTTTAGAAATCATGGTACTCTAGCCATAACAGTAGATTTGTGGCGGAAATAACTCTGTATTCAATTTGCTATAGTGGATCACACACTGAAACTGAGCCAATGTGATGCTGTTGCAAAAAAGGCTAATATCGTTTTGGGGTTTATTAACAGGAATGTCATATGTAAGACACAGGAAGTCATTGTTCTGCTCTACTTGACATTGGTGAAACTCAGCCAGAGTAAACTCATAAACTTTAAGGTCAGAGGGGACCATCGTGATCATCTAGTCTGGCCTTCTGCACACTGCAGGCCACAGAACCTCACCCACCCATTCCTGTAATAGACCCCTAACTTCTGGCTGAGTTACTGAAGGAGAGGGGAAATTAAAATAAAAAAAAGAGAAAGTTAAGAATAGGCAGAAGAAAGAAAAGGAAAGACAATACATAGAAAAAAGAGGAGAGGCAATTTGGTGTCATGGAAATAGTGACCCTGCAAAGCAGCATTTGATTCCTTGCACCAGTCCCCCCCCCACCACCCTCTTTTATCTTCAGCTGATAGGTTAGCGAAAGTGAGAGCCCAGAATCATGGGAAGACTAAACCCCAGGCAGACAAAATGCACTCGCAGGCTGATGGAGAAAAGTGAAGTGAAGTTCAGAGAATTCAGAGGTAGTGATTGCAGCAAAGCCCCTAGTGATCCCAGGCACGGTGTGGAGATTTTGCTGGCTGGGAGCTGAGCGCTAGGATTTAGGGATGACCCTGTGGTGGGATTTGATCGGCACAAAGAATAACCTTTTCTATCGCTGGAGAGAACAAACTGCCCCTCTTGGGCATCGTGGAACGAGTTCCACAGGAGCCTTTTCTCACAGCAACATCTGCTCCAGGGAGGCATGTTCACCCTGCCTGGGACAGCTCATCCCACAGGGACTAAGGGAATCTGGGCCCCCCCAGGAGTGTCCTCTTGCCTGGGCAAGGTGAGTGCAGAAGTTAGTCATGGGGGCAGGTTCAGCAAAGTCCCAAGGAATCGCCCAGCTAGACAAGTCGGCTTCCCACTCCTTGAAGAGGGATTTTGATTAGTTAACATTTCAGTGGCCAAAGGCTCAAAGTTCTGTTGACAAATGGTTTTTCCTGCATCTTCCTCACCCAGGGAGTGGCACCTGCTCTGGTCACTAATGGTTTTTACTAAGCAGAAGATCAAAACTTTCCCCCCTAGGAGCAGTTGTATCTTCCTCTTGTCCAGCTTCCCCTTCCCCCTAGATCTGGCTTTTCACCTCCTCCCTGCTACCAAGGAATCTAAGCTGAGCCTCAGTTAGGTGTTAAGCATTTATTCTACCACTAGGAGCTCTAGTTAAACCCTTCTCCTCATTCACAGCCTCTCAGGCCAAGAAACCCTGGACTGACCTTCCTTCCGAGGACATGCCAAGTGAGACGTAATGACTTGGTGTGCAGCAGAATGTAGTAAGAAGAACAAGGAATGGATTTTATTAAAACTAATGAACTGCCTTTGAATAATTTTGTGACTATGCAAATTGGCAACTTCTTTCTCTGAATATCACTGTAACTGGCAGTGAAAGTTGCTACTTGCTAGATTTGTCATTGGTTGCTTTGGACACTTATTTCCGCATTAGGGAAACCAACAAGTCGCTAAATCTAGTGACAAAATTGGTAAAGTTGGCAACACTGGTAATGATAGCTTGCTATAGAAGATGGCACCCCTTGCATCACATCGGGAGAAGGGATGGTCTAGTGGTTAGGGGACTAGCCTGGGATCTGGGTTCAATTTCCTAATCCACCATATACTTCCTGTGTGACCTTGGACAAATCCCACCTTGTCTTTCTAATATCCTGAGGCCGACATGGCTACAACTACACTGCATACTTAGACAAGTCACTTAGTATCTCTGGGCCAGATTATTAAAGATATTTAGGTGTCTAAAGAAGCAGATAGACTCCTAGTGGGATTTTCAAAAGCCCCTCGGTGCCTAAGTACCATTGATTTCAATGGCTTCTGGCACTCAGTGCCCCAGTTTTCCCTCTGAAAATGAGAGTAATGGGACTTATCTGTCTCACAGGGCTGGTGTGTTAAAGATTGGGAGGAGCTCACATATTATGGTAATGGGGCCATGTTAATTACCTTAAATAGCATTGTCCCTTTGTGATCACTTTCTCTTCAGCCAATGGACACTTTGCCTTAATAATACAGCGAGTTCCTGCACTGATACTGTTCCTTTGTTCTCCTGGGAGCTGTCGTAAATGAAAGGACTTCACAGCAGTTCTGATATTGCCCTTTATCTGTATTTATTAGCCATGTGCATTGAGTTTTCACACAGGACTCTGTGAGCATGGGGGTTAATGTGTGTGTGGGGGGAGGGAATAAAGTATTACAGCAGTCCCGAATTCCTACCTGATCAGCTGTCTGAACAATACAATTTGGTAGAACTTCTCAATATAAGGTAGAATAAAGTTCTCAAATTACCCTTATTTTGCTGTAATTGTTTTCATTTACTAGGGCAAAGGGTTGCCTCTCTGGACCCCTCTAATAATACTGAGTAGTGTGCTTCCAAGGTGGTCTTATCAGACTCTGTTCCTCCCTTTATCTACTACTGCTGTTATGATAAATAAAGTAGCCTCCACAAGAAACAGACCATAATCGAACATTACCTTTTTGTTGAAAACAAGTAATGGGCTATGTATAGTAAATGGGAACAGGCTTGAAATAATAAACAAGAGAAACGGATATGAGAACTACCACTTGTCTTAAGTATATACAGAAATACCCAACTCAAACTATGTTGAATTATAATTGATAACCATGTGCCTAAGCAAAAAAATAAATCCCAACTTGTCTTCTGAGAATTAGAGATGCTCTCCCTTTCTGCCCTCTACCTTCAAACCCATAGCCTGAGCTGCTGTCAGCTATCTCAGAGGATAACTGGGTCTTCAAACTAGGTCCACCCATCAGATGAGCCTGGGGTTTGCTTCCATCTTTCCCTCCAAACTGGGGGTACAGAAGAAAATCCAAGGAACTAGGGAACTTTAAGTTAGATAGATGCTCCACTGATTAAATAGTCTATAGCTAGTTTTCCACCCAGTTTTGCTTATCTCACTTTCCTCTCAGGAAAGCCTTTATATGATACATCCTGTAAGGGTTCTTTAGCAACTGGCATGCAGCTAGCACAATGTTCATTGGCATATGCACATTAAATTACACAGCTAGAACTTTCACTGCCTTGTTATAACATATTTAGTACATATTATCATCATCCGCATGAATTTTTGCCCTAGTGTATCTGTCTCCAGCATATCTATGTACTTGGTGTTGTGGGTTTATCATCATTCCCACATTCTGCATTTTCAAAGAGCCAATTGTGATTTAGCCACACAATTCACATTTCAATCAATAGGAATTTTGTGGCTAAATCCCAAGCAATTCTTGTAAACTGTGTTATCTTCTTTAATCAGAGGTTTGTGGATTGATTTTCTTTGTTTATTGTTTTTTGCAGTTGTTTTAAAAAAGAAGCGGACATGGTGTAATGTGTGTGTGTGTGTGTATAAAACATGCATACACACACACTCAATTATTATTTAGCCCATTACATCAGTCCATAGCATAATACAGTACAGAATAATGTCCGTTGATATTATGAAACCATGATAATGTTAAAGAAATGCATATTAACAATTATAACTAATAATTGCAAGTCAATGGCAAACCTCTCCACGTCTTCAGTGGGACCAGGAATTGGCCCATTATAGTTATTAATATGTATCACTCTATGACCACCATAATGTCAATTGTCCCCATGATGTACTATGGGCCTAGAGTTTGCAGTTTTATCCTGAGTTCATTGGGACCAGGATTTGCTGCTCTATTAAAAAACAATAACTGTAGAGTCAAAAATGTGGGAATATATTCACATATAGTGGCCAAGAACATACACCAGGCTAACAGTTTGCAAAATGTAAAGGAACAAATATTGTCTCAGACCTACACTGCAGATGTCTCCTGCAGCACGTTCTCCATTCACTCAGTACAGGGCACTACCACTGACATCAATGGGGGTTTCATGTGCAGAATATTTTGCTGAACTGACCTTACCAGCATTGACACTGATAGTGGTGGTGAGAGACCATTCATTAGACTGGTATTTGTCCTAGCAAAGTACAAAGCTTTCTGGAGGTTCAAGGGTCATGCTCCTGTCTGGGAGTTTTTCTGTTGAAGCTTCCCCTTTCCAGCTATAGCAATGAAATCAGCACTTCAAAGTCCTGTTCACCCATTTTACCCTCACCTGAGCACCACTCCAGCCCCACAGTCACTGTATTGCTTACCCTCCATTTCTTCACTCTCTCTGGCAGTGGGACTCCCACTTGCTTCCTCAGTCCTCTTTGGGGGTTTCAGAAGAAAATCCAAGGCACTAGGGAAGTGTTAAATTAGTTAGATGCTTCATTGGTTAAATAAGTTGTAGCTAGTTTTCAACGAGTTTCTCTCTCTGTGTCTCTAAAGGAATAATTGAAAACTCTGCTCTTGCAAGGTTAACTATTTCCAGTCCATCATGCCTTTCTGCACATCATTTCATTCTACAGATTTCTAATTTGAGGGTTATGAAAGGTTTAAAAAGTTTAATTTGACCTTGGACCTGTAAACAAATGATTTACAGTTGATGATATTGTTCTGGGATAACTGAACTTCTGTCTTCAAGCAAATCTGTATTAAAGGATTTGCTTTACTTACACTGGGCCAGATTCTGATGTACTTCCTAACACTGAGTAGTACCGTAACTCCTTCAGAAGCCCCATTGATTTCAAAGGCACTCCCCAGGACTCAATATGAACAAAGGTATCAGAATGTGTCCCACTATTACTGGGGCAGGAAAGTCCTTTGTTCTTAAGATTGTGCTGATTTGGAAGATAAACAGTTTGATCAATTTCCCACTCCTTATGTCTTTTGCAAAGTACATGTAAATTCTTACAATATGCTTTAAACCCAAATTAACTAATGCATTTTTCTTTTAAAACACCCCTTTTGGCAGAATCATGGGCATGCTTGCAATATCACACAAGTGTATGTGTTAGAGGCAAAACAAGCACTGTGCATTTGAATATGGAAATATATTTTAGTTCTAGGCTTCAAGGGGCTATTTTAAACCACAGTGAATAAAACAATTATTTTTAAAATGATGGACTGCACCTTACTGGTGTCCCTCTGAAGCTAAAACTTTAGAACTGTGTGCGTTAGCAAGACAACGTTGGCATTTAAAAAACATATCTTGTATCATCGGTCTCTTTTATCTTTTTTGGCATGCTCTTTAGGAAACAGCAGAGAAAGAAAAATATGAAATTGAACACAGCAAATTTAATTATAAAACAAAACCACCCACCTTGCTTTCAGGGTCAGGAAGTATAATCTCCTCCTTTTGACGCAAGAATGAGTTTAACGACATATGTTAAAGGAA